TGATACTTATTTATATTGTGTAATACATAAAATACAAAATAACATTAAGTTTTCTATGTAAAATATCTTTGAATTATTGTTTCTCGTACTATATTTCCTCTTGCACGCATATCTGCACGCATATTGTCTTCTGCTTCAATATTTTCTTGCTCATCTTGTCTGTATATTTCCACATCCGGAACATTATAATGTTTGGCAATATTATGCAATACGCAAGTCGCATTTACTATAAGTGCTGAAATAAAAATAACAAATTCTACAATAGTTTTAACATTTTTTAAATAAAATATAAGAATAAATTACAATACCTGCAAATTCTGGCGAATAATGTAAACCTCTTTCTTTACGCAAACATCTCCAGCGTCCTTTCCATACTCCTATTGTTCTCTCTATGGAGCTTCGTGCTACAGCGTGAGTATCTGTATATGACGCATCTGGAGACCCTGGTGGTTGATTTAGTTTTGGAGTCATTAAATATGGCAATAATGGATAGCCAGAATCTCCTAGAAACACGTCGTAATTTAACTGACAATCATTTATGTTTATCATTTATGTTTATATTTATTATGTTATTTATTTTTTATGTTTAATTTATTTATATTTATATTTTTTGTTTTTTATTTTTTTGTTTTTATTCATTTTTTTATAACGCAAAATAGCTGCTCAACGATAATTTAACGATATTCTTATTAATGTTATTAATTATGTTATGTTATTATAATGTTATTATTTTTAATTTTATATTGATTTTAATACGTGCGTGCGTGCGTGCGTGCGTGTGTGTGTGTAAAAGCCTTACCTAACAACCATACATTTCTCCTTCCATTTTCATACTGATTCAACATGTGCCTCGATAACCGAGACGAATTCCAAACTCTAGCATCATGTGTCCGACCTCCGTGATTTGCCGCTACTGCTAGTATAATGCCATATTATAATCACTAACCTAAAGATAATAAAATGTGTTGTTATTAAATGTGTATGTGTATTATGTGTATGTGTATATATATTATTATTAAATAATTTGTACTTACTATCATAACATTCAAAGAATGATATAATTTTCTATTTATGTATAAATATTCTCTTCTTTTCTCAGGTGGAAAAATCGCTATATGCGTACCATCAACAGCTCCTATAACGCCTGGAAAATTAGTATTAATCCAGAATCTGAAATATGATTATGTATTTTACTGTCTCATAATATGTGTAAGAAGAAATTTCATAATTTATAAATGTTCTTATATCTTATTAAAAATTAGAATTAAAAAATATTAAAAACTTTTGTTTAAAAACAGAAAGAAAACAATGTAGTTTGATTGTAACTCACTGTTGTTTGATTGCTTCAATCTCATTAGCTTGTACAGGAAACTTTATCCATTGCGGCATAATAGCATTTATTGCATTTACAATTTCATGTATTGCACCACTAATAGATGCCTGGCACATGCAACTGAAAAAATCTTGTCCAACTCTTCTTTGATAAGATCCTGAACTCAGAAAACTTAATGTTGCTAAAACCTTAACAATTAAAAAAGAAATATATAAAATAGTTTAAAAAGCTGTTATAATTTGCACCATGTAATTTGAAACGTATAACTATATTTCAAATAATGGATATTTGTATTTAATTTATATTTTACCTTTAATTCGAATGGGATTGCTGTTGGTCTTATAGCTCTCTGCACATAAGGTTGTATGTTTTCACATAATGTCAATACAGCATCTTTCGGAAGCCTGAACATCAAAAATTTTCAAAATTTCTTTTTATTTATAATATATTTATATTGTTAATAAATAATTACAAAGGCTCCAATATTAAAAATATAAGAAAAGAAAATTAGCCTATGTGAGCCATGTTTTGTACAAGTACAAATTATATTCTTCAAAATGGAATGAAAATATAATGTAAAATACAATGTAAGCTACAGTAAATTTAAAATTACATACATATATATATATAAACTGTTTTTATTTTAAAATGTATATAAATTATTTATGTATAATAATTTACACTTATATGCTTTTATTTCTTTATTATAATGTCTTTATTAAAACATTTTTTTACTTACCGATATAAAGAAATAAATTGCGATTCTGGAATACCGAAAGGATTAGTTGCATCACGCAGTTGTCGCCTTTCTATTCTTAACAAATGTTTTTCTTCGTTAGCAGCAATTTGTAAAACCCACCATGCTACAGCCATTATGCACAACCTTTCTTCTTCAGTTTTTTTT